CATCCCTGGCGTACACCCTTCCCAATTTTGAACCATGCAGTGTTGCCCTGCTCTGTTCTGACAACTTCCTCTTGTTCCAAGTATTGGTTTTGCATTAGCATGATTACGTGTTCTGGGATTCCCATTCTTCTCAGAGTCAGCCACAGTTTGTTATGATCCACACAGTCAAACGCCTTTGCATAATCAATGAAACACAGATGGACATTCTTCTGGTATTCTCTGCTTTCAGCTAAGATCCATCTAACTTCAGTTACAATATCCCTAGGTAGAACAAGTAATTTTTTTTTAATGATTTGCATGAAAGTTGTTTTGTTGTTTTTTTTTTTAAACTTCACTGTCTATTATGATGCTGCCAATCGGCCCAGTGGTGAGAATCTTTTGTTTTCTTGATGTTGAGCTTCAAAATATATTGAAGGCTGCAATTCTTCATTTTCTGTAGCAAGTGCTTCAGGTCCTCCTCAGTTTCAGTAAGCAGGGTTTGTGTCATCTGCATAACGCAGGTTGTTGATGAGTCTTCCTCCAATTCTGATGCCACATTCCTCCTCATAGAGTCCAGCCTTCCAGATGATCTGTTCTACATACAGACTGAAAAAGCATGGAGACAGGACATATCTCTGATGTACATCATTCCTGATTTTGAACCATGCAGTGTTTCTTTGCTCTGTTCTGATGACTGCCTCCTGGTCCATAAGTATAGGTTTCATATTAGCACAACAAGGGTTCAGGAATTCTAATTTTTCTCAGAGTTAGCCACAGTTTGTTGTGATCCACACAGTCAAATGACTTTGAATAGTCAAAGAAACAGACATCCCTCTGGTATTCTCTGCCTTTAGCTAAGATCCATCTAACATTAGCTATCACAGCCTATTCTAAATCCAGCCTGCCTATCTGGCAATTCTCTGCTGATGTGCTGTTCCAGTCATAATTTTTTTTAAATTTTTTTCAGTTGTTTTTTTATCATTTTTAGCAGAATCTTGCTTGCATGTGATATTAATGATATTGTTTGATAACTTCTGCATTCTGTCGGGTTACCTTTCGTTGGGATGAAAACAAATATGGATCTTTTCATTTTAAAGGGAATAAATATTTACTTATGGTTTTCTGGCAAAGGATGAAAGGACACATTAGAGGCAACACTAACCTTAAATATAAATAGAGTAAGTGACAAAAATATCAGAGTTCATCTTAATTCCCCTTACATGAATCTAGTAGGGAAGACTTTAGCTGTACAATGGCCTGGTGAATAAGAACCTATGCTGTCAACTCAAAGGCACATGGTTAGAAGGTACCAGCAGCACTGCAGCACCAAGATGGGACATTCTCCTCCTATGTAATTTACTATCTCTGAAAAACCACTGCAGGTTTAGCTAGGGACTGATTCTGACTCCAAGGTATCAAATAACAAATAAAGACAAACCTATAATTAGATTTACCTAATCACATAAAAAAACATTCTATAACTGTATCTGAATTGTAAAATGGGCTACAAATTGGTTATTTTATATACATAACCAAATGCCTGACCTTTTACTTTAATGTTGATTATATGTTGTTGTTATGTGCCGTCGAGTCGCATGCGACTCATAGCGACCTTATGTACAACAGCCCTAAACTCTGCGGTCCTGTGCCAATCGCACTGTCTCTGACACTCCCATCCCGATTATCCCAGTCACTGAATCAATCCACCTCATAGAGGGTCTTCCTCTCCTGCGCCGTCCCTCCACCCTCCCAAGCATGATGTCC